CAGCTTGACGGAAGGATTTCAAGCAAGCGGTTTCGGTGGTTCGCCGCACAGTGCTGCCTCATCTACTCTGTTGCTGTTCGTCATGCATGCACGAAGACACGGACGACGGATAGGTCCAGCTGATGCCGTCGGCCGCCTCTGCCGCAAGTGGCTACGACTGGCGCCAGCCCGTCTGCTGAAACAGAGACAGGTCCACAAAAACTACTAAGGGGCAATTTGCTGAGGTAGGCCTTGCCCTGCGCCTGGCGAGTTGCGGCCTTGCCCCGCTGCGAAGCCGTACGACCGGGCCCTGGACTCAGCGCAGGCCGGATCCACAGCACGAGGCCAAGGGCACAAAGGCACTGAAACCTGCAAAGAGGACGGCACAACCCTCATGAGCTTGACTGCTGGCACGTGTCGCGGGCCCTCTCAAAGCTGAAGCCCCACGAACTGCATATCGAAAACCACTTGGCCATTTGACCCAAGACTTCCGCCGAATCATGCGTGGGTCATTTCGAAGTTGGGCACAGACTGCCAGCAGCAAAAGCTCAAAACAAGACCCAGTTGCCAAAACCATGCATGCTTCAGTTAAATGAATCCAGCCGGACCAGAAAAGTGTCAGCGAGAGGGCCCTGCCGACGGATTCCTTGGACATCGACTGCGTTTCATCACGCTGCACAGCTGGGAAGGCTGGACCAGATGTTGTTGGAAATGAGTAACTACTTACTTTTGGCCGGATGTGAAAAAACATAGGTCAACAAAGGCAATGCCAGGGAAGAGAAACGCACAGAAAGAGCTTCTGCCTGCTCGCTTGCCAATCACTGCTATAGTCTTCGACGGCGGAAGGAATGCGTGAAGCTCTTCAGCTTGAAGGAGCCTGTTGTCCAGTGTTCAGCCTTCTTGCTCAATGCACAGTGGCCAGGAGTGCTCGTGCTGCATGTTGCTGGCGGAATTCATGAACGTGCACTTGATCGATCGGGCGATCCCGCCACCTGTGCAGTCAGGACACTTTGATGGCGTTCCCCGAGGTTGCTGACGTGGGCTGGTTCCTGGAGACATGTCTTGATTGCAGAGGGGCATGCTTGGACAGTTCTCGTGCTGCTGCAGCTTGTGGCCGACCGAGCCCGAGATGGCATACTCGTACCCAAGGAAGCCGACCTTACTCATGGCCTCGTCCTGACAGCTCTTAGCTTCCTGGAGAGCTTCGGCCAACGAGGCCAACGATTCCCAGAGTGGTCTTCGAATGTTTCCCGACTTCCTTGGTTAACTCCAAGGTTGGAGCTCTGGGCAGCTGAAGATCCATTAGATATTTTTGCCCTTCGTCTTTTCACCCAAGCGTCACCAGGCAGCCGTGCTGCCGCACTGCTAACAGCGGTCTGGGGCGCTGAGGCCAAGAGAGAAAGCTCGCACTACTGCTGGTCTCTGCATCGGGAACACGTGACTGTGCCTGAGGTTTCTCAATGGGCATCTGCTCTTCACTTCAAATCGTGCTGCACAGTTGTCTCTACAGCAGTCACAGCGTCGGTGGTGTGTTTCTGCTCTTCATGCTGCCTTGTTCTGGGGGGATGATGCCAAGAGGGGTCATCCACGAACCCTTTTAGTTGTGGAAGCCATTCATTTTAACCCTCATGGTAAGCAGTAATTAGAGTCGACTCTGTTGCCAGTTGCTGCGGTGCGTGGTATCGGGCCTTTCCGAACCTCGACAGGCGCTCTGTGAGAGAGTTTAGCATGGCATCTGTGTATAGTGCGACTCTCTCAGTCTCAGCATGTCAAGATGTGGAGACAGACGAAGTTCGCTGATAATATTTAATATTTCGATGTCGGTGAAGCAGAAATCGAACACTGACACACTGTTAATGTAGCACTGTGCTCCGTATAGCAAACGGCATAAGAACAAGAGTGCTGGCAGCAGTGCGCGAGGGATACTCGTCCCATGTGTGCACCTCGTAAGTTTTGCACCACTTCCAGCATCCTCAGACACGTAAAAGGTTCGTACAGGGCTGTATCAAACTGTGATACATTCCCTCACACTTGACAATTTGACGGTTCTCTTTTGCAGTTCTTGGTTGCACAAAATCCACAGTGTCAGATTCTGCGACTCCCCGGGCAAGCGCCTGAACCAACAAAGTGTGCTACACCCAAGGCTGGAAGAGATATTTCCATGCTGCTAACTCTGCCTCTACTTCTCTACTACGGCTGATAGTGCTACTACCACTACAGCGACTACTGCTACTGCTACTGCTGCTACTACTTAATAATATAGTACGTAAGGACAGCAGGCGCTTGCGACAGCCCGGCAACACAAAGCAGCCCGCAGACATATCGCAAGAATAGTGTCTCCAGTGACTGCTGGCTGTATTTGCATCTACTCCCCCCGCCGTTCAAAAGACCTTCTCCTTTCTCCCACCGCAAGGAACGGCCCTTGTGCTCTTTGAGGGTTAACTGCTGCATGAGGTGTTTGAGTGCCGGCGGGCCGCTGAAGGCCCCGAAGATTCCAGAAGCTTATCATGAATCATGAACCGGACTCTGTAGTCGATTCACATCACCTTGCAGCACTCTACTCTCCGGCTGTCCACAGTGCCATCAGGAGTGAGCATTCTGCAAATTCCCAGTTCTTTGTGTGCAGGTCTGCAGCTGGAAGCTGCGCTCACGAAAGCTCTTCCACACTTTTGCTGCCTGCCTCCATGGAGAAATAGAGTCGTTAGCCGCAGGAAACGCACACAATACTGACTAGGCACGATTGTTCTCAGTCTGGAATCTGAGAGCTGAAGGAGAAATTGTGCTTCCATAAACTGGAGGCCAAAGTTGAGTTTTGATGGCCTCATTCACTCTTGGATTTGTCGTTGCTGCTGGATGTGAGTTTGCATTGTTCCGGTCCCCTTGCCACGACTTTACTACTATGATCGTAAGTAAGAAGTGGCTGATGGTATTGCTGTTACTGAAAGGTTGCTATGGTTGTCCAGAATTGCCTGGTGCCGGGTGCATGTCTGCCCGACTTCCGAGGCCTCAACTTTGCTTTGGGCCCCTTCCTCGCCTGGGTGTTCCGCAAAGCCTCATGCATGCCAGCATGTCTCATGCTGCTGGTCAGCATCCAGTGTCAGGTGCGAGATCGTCAGGGTTATTGAAATGCTACCATTACGGCTGTCAGCATGTCTGACACTGACCTTGACTGTCGTCGTGCTGTCGTCGTGATATAAAATAAGAGTACCACGGCCAAAGCACGGGGCTGAGGTTTGCTTGGCTGCTGCCCTGGACTTTGGATTGTTCAGTTCTGAGGACTGCTGGCTCTGCCACGTATACCGTGTACTTGTATATTCATAGACTCATAGACGTAACACCCATGTAAATATACCAGCATACATGACCATCATCGCAGTGATAGCCATACCAGCGAGCAAACGTTTCGAACATCCTGACTGCAATCACAGAAAGAACGCTGTTTCAGCCGAGCGGCTCTTTGAACTGCAGGTGCTTAGAGTCCCCTGGCTGCAGGTTGCTGGGCTTGCCTGGAGCTTGTTACACGGGGGCAGGGCCCGAGAGCTTACCGGAGGCAGGGAAGAGACTTGTTCTCCAGGGTTTTCTTTCTAGCATGAAGTTGTTAAACTGTTAAACTTCAAACAGCCGCTTCTGGTGTCCCGGCTCGGTACGAGCGAGAGCCCGAGCTCGAAATCGCGAGGCAGATGACACAATTACCGCCCAGATGCGGATGTGGAATACAGTCGCCGGCTCAGATAGCAACAACGGGTGGTAAAATCCATTCATTTCAGCGGCCCGATGCGCAGACAGTCCGCTGCAAACTTGATTTTCAGCCAGCATGAGCACGACATTCGGTGATCGCACAACGCACCCCGGTGTTACCCTGGAGGTTCGATGGCTCAGCCTCGTCGGCCTGCACCTCTCTTTGCTTCGGTGGCTTCAGCGCGATTCCACCCAAACCAAAGGCCCTTTTGAGCTGCAGGGTGCCTTCGGGTCTCACAACTGGATTGCTTGCGTTTAGGGAGACCGCACAGCTTTTTGCAACTTGTGTCAAGCTACAGAGTCACGGAATCTTGCAGGGCTCCTCTTCTTGTTGGACCGTCTGGCTTTTGGTCCTTTGGCTTGCAACATGGACTCCATCATTCGCTCTGACCTGCCCATAGAGAGACCAGTAGGGAACGCCTCAGTGCGAGGACGGCATTAGCTCGGTACTTGTGGCTGTCGGCTTTAGATTGTCCAGATTTTCTCAATCTTCAGGGACGACCTGCTATTTTTGATTTTGTTGTTCCATTCGGGACCATTCCTGTTGCCATAGAGGCCGCTCATTCACAACTACACTCCTCGCCTATACATCGCACCTTCGCGGAACCCCTAAACCAAGATCTAGTGACAGACGAGGCATGCTCGTCTCCAGCCCGTGGATTCTTCGTCTGGTTCTCTTCTCTTGGCGGGCTGCACGGCTGAAGGAAGCCCACAGTGACAACACTCGTGATTTCTGGAATATAGGATCTTGTCTACCAGCCAGCTGTGCTGTTTCAGGTAGAGTGAGTGCGGGTCTCACTGGTTCTTCCATTGATATTCGAAAGTGTGTGTGGCGGCTCAGCCCAAAAACTCAGGATTCCTGCTGTGAGTTCTCCTGGTTCGCCTGACCCTTAACACTACACTCGATTAGCAGTGCTTGCGCCTGTATCTTTCAGCATTCCTGCCAGCTGCCGGACATGCAAAGATGCAGTTTATTGGAGTCCAGAATCTCCTCACCGGCAGCAATGATCTTTTCTGGATCCAATCTTTGCATCTATGCAGCCTTCCCAGGAGGCCCAGCAAGAGGCTGCAGATTGGAAACACGGATCATCGCGGACTCAACGCATGCAAACATGTGCGACCGCAGCATTTTGGTTTCCTCCGCAGGCAGCCAGGCTTAGTCACCGGGCCGCAGGCACTTGTGGGCATTGGGATCCAAAGAAGTGCTTCCTATTGCAAGACTGCATCAGCTAGAACGCATCAGCTAGAACGCACTCGCAAGTGTCTTGCTCGACAGGTCAACCATGACTTTTGCAAGGTCATTGGCCATCAAAGCAGTGCAGGAGCAGGCACAGCAGATGGATAAGCTAGAATCCCCATGGCCCTCAGGGACGCTTGTGTGACAGCCTTCCATCTGTGCATGATCGTGGTTTAAGTTGACTAAATTGAAACAAGAGCAACATAATTGGGGCACGGAGAACAGCACCGTTTGCACTGGCTGCTGCGAGGCCAACCGCGATGCACACGATGTTTCGACTAGCGAGCGCTGGGCGACTCGGCCGAATCCAGGTCTGAAGCTGCAGACACTGGATTCTGCTGCATGGCTGCCTGAGATCCCAGGTGACCTCCCAGGTGGCCAGCATCAAGTCGACGTGCGTCGCCGCCGCTCGGACGCATCAGCGTTGACTTCTCTGGCACATTGCTTTCTGCGCATTTCGGAGCTCGAGGCCAGCAAGCGCTGTGAATTCTCCGTCGAGATCTTAACAGACAGCTTGCCGTTCCTATATCAGCAAGAAGGCATGCAAGCTGTCGCGACATAGCCGCGCCCGATAGCAAAACCCAAGCCAAGCTCTGAAGAAGACCTGCCCACCTCCCACAGTGCGATGGGAGGCCAGAAGAAGCTCCTGAAGGAACTTCAAGCTCGCTTGGGACAGCTTGGCTTTGCCAAGCTACGAGTCTCTCAAGAGTTCTCTGGTGAAGGCGGCATCTTGTTCCTGGCGACTTCCTGTTCATGGCATGACATTCTCACTATGCCGTAACGGATGCAAAGACCCCTGAAGATGCAAGACGTTAAGCCCATGCTCTCACTCGACTTGTGTATATGTAGCTGGACCATCGTTTCGAAAGCAGCCTCTCAACCTACATCAGACGGCTGCCACAAAAAATAGGCTTGCTCTGCTCTTGGCGCAGATGCCGGAAAAGTCCGTGTTTCCGTGTCCTGGGCTGGCCTGGAGTCTTCGGAGCCTTCGTGCCTCGGCACACGTGGAAGACGGACACAGACTTGAGACTTGAGCCTCAAGGCACCAGTTGCAGTGGCGATAAGTCCTGTGTGGAAAGCTTTTGAGGGCAGGTCGCAAGCTGCGCGGTTCCTGAGGCCCACGTGCTGCAAGTGCTTCGCCTTCTTGTGGACTCTGCCCATGCTGCTCACCAAAGGACCGCCCTTGTATTTGCTGGTGAAACGCATACAGCCAGGTCAACGTGTGTTGCTGGAAGGGGGAGTGTGTATGTCGGGGTTCAAGAGGGCGGGTGAGGTGACACTTGTTTCTGTTGTGACACTTTGACGTGGCGAGAAGGATTCCTCCAGACCCAGACTCAGAAGCGGTTCGCCAGCCCGCTGAAGCTCCCGCTGAAGTCGCACAATGCGGAGAGGCTCGCTTGGAGAACGGGTGCAGGCTTAAGCAAGATTTGCGGTTTGTGGTAGCAGCAGTGTCCGATTGACAGGAGTTGCCGACCCTGGAACGTGGCGGAGCTGTCCTGCTGAGCTGGCCACTACGAAGGAACCAAACTCATCCTGCTTCAAGCTAGGGAACCAGCAGCTACATGTCCCACTTGCGACCAAGTTGAGACGGTTTTGGCAGCTGACAGCCTGGTGTAGTGACCCTGGCTTCTTTTTGCACATGCGCATTGCTCCCATATCCCCCCCGTAGTATCGCTCAGGCATCGCTGTGCCTAGTAAGTAGAACTCAAACTAAACGCATGCTTCAAGAGAGCTCCCCTGAAGCTACAGTAGCTTACGACCTACGACTATGCGCTCGTCACTTCTCGTCTGGGCAATGCTGGCTACTGTACAATCGCGAGAGTGCGATTTCCACGGCAGCCTGCCCCTTTCAATATAAGAGCTACCCAGCCGCTACACCGTGAATAATTCTCTTTGCCCCATGCTGCTTCGGATGGAGTCCGAGCAGCTGGTGACGTTTACAAACAGCACCTACGACACCTCCATCAAGCTAGATCCGTCAGTTCATGGCAGCCGACAAACGGCTCTGTTCTTGAATTGCACATCATCTTCGTCCGGCACACGACGGCTGTTTTCCAGAGGATGCGTGTTTTGATCCTGGTGTTCCACTTGGGACATCATGCGACGCGTGCTGTTCAGCTTCCATGGTCGGTGCAATCGATCATGCGAGACCTTCGTCGTGGCTAGACCAACTTAGTCTTCCCGATGTGAAACATCTGGGACCACGCAAGTCTGTAGTTGGCAGTTGGAGCTTTCGCATTGCAGCCCAGGACTGCAATGATTTACTCATTTCTGAGAGTCTTAAGGTCCCTTCAATCTCCCCCCAAGGCTTACGATCTCTCCCTATGTCTCCTTGATTCTCAACAGTATGGGCGCCTGCATCTAACGCGGGAGTTCTTCTGGGCAAGGCTTCAAGGGGGTGCTGACTCCGGCAAGCGGAGTGAAAATTGAGATGCATGATCTTCAAATGCTCCGTCATGCTTGCACCGTGTGTTCACACGCTGCGTGCAACGAAGATGCCATGGATTTGATAAGTCAGCACGCCGTGCGTAAGGCCGGACATGAACTGGTGATCCCGATGAAACAGGACATGCGGAATGTCCCCGAACGGTCACTGCATCGAATGACGCTTGCTTGCCCCACTCTGCAGGGAGGACAGCAGCCCGCGCCAGTTACGCAGTGGATTCGGCACGGTGGGATCAATCCCGCAACCGCCCCCCCGTAAGCAGGATCGCTTTCGAAAAACAAGGGGCTGTGAAACAATGAGCCCGCTGGACATGGCCTGCAAGTTCCTTTGCAGCATTCCCACCCCTGTCACTGCACCCGGGTCGGCAGGAACTGGTAAAATTGCGTCCCGCTGCAGGCAGACTGCAGTTTGCAGATTGCACTGCATTTATCGAAAATCATTCAAGCAAGTCGGTGCGAAAGGGCCACGTAGCAACTACAGAAGTAGTCACAGCTCGAAACCGTTCCCTCCGATGCGCGGCGTTTGCGCATAACAACAACAAACAGGTACACGTGTGCACACATAAACAGCATATGTCAAGAAACACCATATAAACATGTCAATGTGTGTACATATATGTGGGTGGTTGTCAAGATTAGGGTCCCTTTTTGGGTCTTTCATATTCTACGGCACCTAATATTTAGGGTACCCAAAAAGGGACCCTAATTTTGAGAACCACCCATATATATATATATATATATACATATTCCCTTCCCCCTAACACTAACCCCAACCCCCCTATATACAAACTCCCGGGCCCCAGAATTTCGCGATTTCGGGCCCACAGTTGAAAGTTAAGGAAAAACATTAGGGGGGGCTAGGATTGCATGAGTTTTAATAGGGCCAAAGAATACAGCTGTACTAAAGAGACCAGAGCTTTAGGGTTTAAGGGTTTAGGACTCAGGGCTAAAGCTTTAGGGCTTGGGGCTTTAGGGCTCAAAGTTTCAGGCTTAGGGATTTACCCCAGTCATACGTGGATGCACCGAAGCCCCCCTTATATTAAAACAAAGCCCGGAAATCAGCTTTTATATTAGGTAGGGGGGAGGGGCGTTTAATAGTAGTGGGAAGGGTTTATATATATATATATATATGTATGTTGCGCATGTAAACTTGATGACATAAGTGCACCCAGCACCACCGCAGCATTTTGGCCTCTCGGCTTGCCATTGAAGCACCGTCAGTGAATCCTGCTCCCAGCATCGCGACTACACAGGCGGGCTTAAGCGAAACAGCAGCCCTAGTGAGCTTCAGCAATGTGCCTGCTCGACAGGTTCATCATGACTTTCGCAAAGTCTTTGGCCATCAACGCAGTGCAGGAGCAGGCACAGCAAAAGCTACAGCACGATCCCATGTCTGCCGAAAAGCTCGACCGCACTCGCAAACTTCTCATCATTCCCGAAGCCCCGTCGCGAATCAGGCAAGCGCGCGGTTCAAGTGATTTTGTGAGCAGTCCGTTGCAACCGACGAGCTAGAACCTTTGAAGTTCTTATCTTCAATCTTCAAACGGTGTAAGGAATGAACGTCCATGCAAGGTTTAGTTTACCTTGGGTCTTTGGCTCTCTTCAGAAACTGGTGCAACTGAGCCCATTCTGCGCACAGTGGCTGCTGCAAGGCCAACCGCGAAGCCGAAGATGCTGTGATGAGTGAGCGCTGGGCAACTCGGCCGATTCCGGTGTTTATTTAAGCCACAGACGCTGGGGCTGTCGGTTAGATGAACGAGACTTCAGGTGAAGTCACAGGTGGCCAGCATCAAGTCGACGTGCGTCGCCGCCGCTCGGGCGCATCAGTGTTGTTTTCTCTGGCACATGGCTTTCTGCGCATTTCGGAGCTCGAGGCCAGCAAGCGCTGTGAATACTCGGCTGAGATCGTGACAGACGGCTTGCCGTCGCTACACCAGCAAGAAGGCGGCGCATTCCACGCAGAAAGCTGAAGCTGCTCCGACTGCGATGAGAGGTCAGAAGAAGCTCTTGAAGGAACTTCAAAGTCGTCTGGGACAGCTTGGCTTCACCAAGCTACGGGTCTCTCAAGAGTCCTCGGGAGAAGGCCGCTTAACCCTCAACTAAGGGTCAGAGTAGGGTCGCATGGCATGGCTGTCCAATCGCTGTGGAATCTGCCTCCCGCGCAGATGCCGGAAAAGTCCGTGTCTCCGTCTCCTGGGCTGGCCTGGAGTCTAAGTGCCTCGGCAAGCAGAGGCGACAAGTGCGCCGAGACTGAGAGACATCGCACTGCAAGCCGGGGCTCGCCGTCGCTAGCCGCTCTGGGGGGTTCCTGAGGTCACAGTGTTTCGAGTTTGTGCGGGCTTTGCCCACGCTGCTCACGAAAGGACTGCACATTGCGAAAAAAACAGCATTGCAGAAGACGGGAGGGCACTTGCTAGATTCTGCTAGATTTCGTAGTCTTGGCTGGAGGCAATGCCGGTGGGGTGTGCGTAAGCACGCCTGGGATATTTCGGGGTGGGAGGCCTGATTTGCAGGATTCAGGTTCTGGCAGCAGGTGACCTGGCACACCTCTCTGTAGGGCCGCGCCTGACTGATATGCATGGCCAGAAGGAGTCCGCGAATCTGCCAAATCGCAGAAGCGGCTCATCGACATGCTGCCTCTGAAGCCACACAGCGTGGAGAGGCCCGATTCAAGCACTGGGCGGGATTAATTGTGCTGTTCGGGGGAGTGCTAGAAATTGGATACTACCAGTAGCGGCAAGCACGTGTTCAATCGACAGGAGTTGCCGTTCCTGGGGCGTGTCGGAGCTCTCTTGCTGAGTGTGCCACCACGACGGAGCCGAATTCTTTTAGCATAGGCTTTCTGCAGAGGTGCGAAGCGAAGTGAGGCAACACACGGGACTCATGGCTTCGTATCAAGAGATTTTGTTTCCAATTTCCAAGAGTGACCCGTGCTGCTTCCCATTGACAAGGGAGCAACACGGCCCTATGTGAAATGCAAACTGCATCCAGACGCAGCCGGTGAGGACTGCAGAATTCATATTTCGAAAGCTGGTGCTCTGGCTGTTAGTCCCACGTACTAGCTGGCGACTGTTTCCGACAGCACGAATCTTGTCGGCCGACTGTCCCGGACTCCAGCGACCAGGTAGTCAGGCTCATGCAGCTTGTGGTGCTGGAGTCAGAACTGGGCATTGCTGGCTGGCAGAGCTCATTGGCAAGACCATCGCTCTGCAATCCAGCTGCGCCTATGCCGCCGGGTCAATTCAAGTCTCTTCGCGGCACTCCCAACCTGGAAACCCTTCAAAAGAACAAGCATGCACATTGACCTTTCAATACTTTTATGCGGGATCAGAGTTGGTACCACCTCAAGCGGCCTCTGCCGCGCTGATGTAGCATGGACACAACTCCGTGGACGGTCCTACCTCATCGTGACATGGGCAAGGTTGCAGGTTGCGCTGGGCTAGTGGTGCAGCTCCCTGTGCAGATTGCTATATGATGCTCGGAACTCGTAATTTCGAGGGTGTTCGCGAGGCTAGGCTTGGCGATCCTTCATTTCTCGCGATTCATCTAGCATCTCACCGAGTTTCAGTGTTCCGTTGTCATAGGAGCAAGAACAGTGGCGGACATGCGCGAAACTGCGGAATTTGCCGGACTCCTACCAGGCGCGCACCAGGCTGAAGATTGCATCTCACAGTTTCGACGGCTGCTATGTACATCCCAAGGGGGGAGTTTCGGGTCTGTTGGAGCATCGCAATCGTTACACCGTCGTACGCTTGCCTTTACACCCGATTATGGCTGGAATTCTGCGCCCCAAATATCCAACATCACAAATCTCGCTGAGTTTCCGTGCTTGAAACAGAGGTTTGCGAGAAACCCTTTTGCAGCAGATTGTGGGATTGCGTGTTTTCGAGCAGTCGTGCTTGCGCTAGGGCCTTCGGGCTTAAACCAACAACTGCTTCTACTTCTTAGAAGTTGGATTGGCCAGGAATCGCAACAGACATTAAGCCGGGATTGGGACTGCCGGTTGAGAGTTTTCAAGAGCAGGATCGAGGCCCACAATCAGCTGGGAATTGTAGATC